AAATAAATAAAGTAGTTTGATAAAGATCCAAAATTTAAAATTTCTAAGTGTTGTAAAAATATTAAACCACAGGTTACTGATCGTTCAGCCCTGCAAAAGCAGGCTTTCTATGTAGGTTTCTTCCTGTCAGTTTCCCAGCTCACTGTCTACTTATGTCTACCTCATTCCAAAATATATTTCAGTGATCTATTTTTTTTTTTTTGAACTCATGGGCTTAGGTGTATGTGTGTTTTTTATAAGTTATTTTCTTTAAAAAAAAAATTTGGAGAGGTGGTTCTATTTTGTTATCACCATTTTAACTATACACATTCGCTTCAGTCTGTATTTTCTGGAAATATTTTAAGAAGGAATTGATCAGAGACATTGCTAACAACTGGCAGACAGTGGAAAGAGAGCAAGGGTAAGGCAGACAGATAAATAGCTAGATGGCTGGGCCCCATGGATAGGGTGAGACAAGAACACTGACTTGATCTATGATTCTAGTGATAGTTTGAGACGGAAAAACCTGACAGCAAATGCTTACCTGTATGAGACATGAGGATGATGTGTCAGTCTTCAATGATTTGTTGGAAACTAGAAAAGAGACATTTCTTACAAAACATAAACGGTCAGCATCCATACAGTTAAGCATCACACTTATACATATTTCATTTTTAATGTGGTCTGGGCACTAAAGAAAATGATGCTTAAAAAGAGTGCCGGTAACTGTGTACTGTTGCATACCACCAGAAAAGAAGCCCTCCTATGAATACATGTTTTGTCTATACAATTACATCATTTAGTAGGCCTTAGTATGTCACATTAATTACTATCACATTAAACAAAATCTTAAATAATCTGTAGTTATACAAGCATATCCTTAAATGGAGGAAAAACAAACATTTCATTGCATCATAGTAGTTGTCTCTAGTATCCTCATCATGTTGTACCGTTTATATGTCACAAAGGGCTTCTAGTTGATTCCACCATTCCATTTTGTTTTGTTCTTTCCTTTCAGATGTCTCTGGAATCCACTGTGGCATCTTTATCTCTCTCATTGTTTGTTGTACAGTTTCTCTTGGAGGTCGTCACTTCCTTAAGCTCCTTATTTCCAGTTTCAGTGATTGTTTTGTGATTCTTTATATGCTTCACCTCAGGATATTCACAGTATATTTCCGTATTATAACTGGTGATAGCAGTGTTTGTTAAGGATTTTCTCTTATTTCTTCACCTTTCTAAAATTGGTAGTATTTAATGCTCCTCACTTTCCTCTGGCATTTTTTTTTTAGCGTGGATGCATTTCGCTTTCATTCCACTTGTCACCGGTATACCCCAGTATGATATGCATTGCTGGAGCTACAGAGTTTATGTGTCTGTGCTGAGATCCAAATCAGTAGATGTTCTTTGGAGTTGCTGTTCCATTGGGGGACAAAGCACACATGGGAAGGCCCAATGTGCAGTGACATCACTTGCGTTAACATAACACATTATGCGTGTCTTCATTTTGCACCTTCTCTAACAATTTTATGTATATGTATGTCTTGCTGAAAACAGAACTAGTGCATGCTCAGACACAGAGAAGACTAGGCCCTAGTATACAACGGTACACTTAAAACATAAATGGGACTGGGCTTTTTAGAAACTGCAAGACAGTGATATAAAATACTAGTAATAAATATCAGTATAGTGTCCTAGTTGTTAACTGAATGTTTACAGTCTTGATTATCTTCTTGCTGTTATGTTTTGTTTAGACAGATGTACAACTGATAAATAGTAAATAAAACAAATGTAACAGTTACTATGCAGCTTTATTTTAAACCAGCCACACCCTGGTTACATTTAAATGTAAACAAGGGCATACAAAATCTTCTTGAGTCCAAACATGTGTACAGGACTGCTAGTAAATCATAAACAGGAGTCATTCATAGCCTGTGTATGCCATATCTTTTCTGGCTGAGAATAATGTACACAGGCCCTAGCTGCGACATGTAGAAATTTTATGTGAAATGAAGTGAAGGCCTTTGTTCAGCTTCATAACCTAAATACTGCATTGAATGTTCTTTCAGTGAAGTTTACCGTGCAGTACAACTTGTGGAAGCAAGTGTATTGATTATTTAGTGAAGGCTTGCTTTATATGCATTGTGGATAGCACCAGATACATCATACTATTTGCATAGGCATTTCACCCTTTTGCCGTGGTAATGCTACACACACAAAAATTGAATCATGATCACATAGGAATTCCCGAAAAATCCTTAGAAAATTAATTTCTTTTACAGGGGCCACAAAATAAAACAAAATATGTATTCAAAGTTTAGTTTTTATAGAAATATATAAAGCTATGGGCTCTACTGTCAAATTTGGCCGGTAAGCTGGACTGCTTCAGCCGGCTTAGCGGGGCTTAGTGGGAGTTATGTCCCTTGGCCAAACTCAAAACAAGTCGCGGAAAAAGTCACGAATCAAATGACATACTTACCTATCATCATCCGGGTGCGTGTAGGGTTGCGTAGGGTGTCTATCATCGTCCTACGGTTGCGTGTAGGGCTGCTTATTGCGTGTAGGTTGGTTGTTTGCGTAAGATGAGGGTTAGGGTTAGGGTTCAGGGTTAGAGTTTAGGGGTAGGGTTTAGGGTTAGGGGTAGGGTTAGGTGTGGTAGGGTTAGGATTAGGGGTAGCGTTAGGGTTACGGTTAGGGTTAGGGGTAGCGTTAGGGTTAGAGGTAGGGTTAGGGGTAGGGTTAGATCGGACAATTCGCCACCGATGGGCACCAGCCGCGCACTATTGCCGTCATATTTGGCACACTTCCAGTGGCGCCACTCCCACAAGCATCAGATTGTCGGCCAGTATTTCGACCTCCTACGTGAAATTGTCACATCTAACCATACCCCTAACCCTAACCCTCAACCCTAACCCTCAACCCTAACCCTAACCCTACCCCCAACCTAAACCCTAAACCCTAACCCTACCCCTAACCCTATCCCTAATCTTACGCAACCAACCCTACACGCAATAAGCAGCCCTACACGCAACGGAAGGACGATGATAGACACCCTACGCAGCCCTACACGCAACCGTAGGATGATAGGTAACCCTAGACGCAATCATACGCAACCCTACACGCACCCGGATGATGATAGGTAAGTATGTCATTTGATTCGTGACTATTTCCGCGACTTGTTTTGAGTTGTTTTGAGTTTGGCCAAGGGACATAACTCCCACTAAGCCCCGCTAAGCCGGCCGAAGCAGTCCAGCTTACCGGCCAAATTTGACAGTAGAGCCAAGCTATGTATAGGGAAATATCAATAAACAGTAAAGTTGAGTCAAGAATTGAAATCACAGCACTCGGGGCATTCCTATGCATGCTCCATTCTCATCTTCAGCAGCCAGGGCAGAGTTCAGATACTAATGGGACCAGTTGTAGTCTGGTTATATGTCCATCTTGCCTTTTCTCTGAGTGTTGTGAGCTGGCCAGACCCTCTAGTTACAACCAGCCAGATGCATCATTCTCTCTAGGCCATAATAATTTTGTTTCTCTTCTGACTTCGTTACATATTCCCAAAGGGCCTTGACCACATCTGCCTGGTCATGTATCATTTCACCACCTAGTGGTGAGATCCAGCCAGTCGGTCTGTCTGTTCATTCCCCCTCCATACTGGCATAGCCTGGAGAAAAGAACCAAAATATGCTCACTTCGTGTGACCTTCCTAGTGGAGCTTGCCACTCTGCTTGAAGCATCCCTGTCTTGACCTATCTCAGCATTCTCTCAGAGTTTGTTACAGTTACAGTATGTGAATGCATCTTGTTCTCTAGAAAGCTGCACCTCCTCCTCAATTCTCAGTGTAGATTTTGTGGTATCATTTGCTAGGCTGTTCTAAAAACATGAACAAGTAAAGCATTCAATTGAATACATTCTGCAGGGCCTAAAATCAGTATGTATCAGGTGACTCATGCTGCAACCCTGTGACCTGTGTCACTGAGGCTGATGGGATTGGCATCAACCTGGCTTTAAAAAAGCTATTTAAAAAAGCTGTTGGTTTCACAGGAAGTCACCCCTGAATGCTATTTTTGTCTAATATATTAATATCCTATCCTCCTAAATATTTGTGCAGGTGCAGACTTGGCCAGTATCATTAAGTATGCACCTGGTAGACATATCACTGTAAACAAGTCAAAAAAAGTTTCATTTACAGAAAACTGGATCTGATCAGAAGTGGTTTTGCAGCTTCTTGAGGTGACGATTAAGATTACTGATTCACAGTTTCATCTGTTTTCTGCCAAAACTTGCCAGTTTTAACTGGAATACTTTCCCTGCCTTATAACGCTTCCCCTCTTCGATCTACAAGATTTCTTTTAATAGTTAAAACACCGAGGAGATCCTCAGCACAGATGCATAATGTCTGTAACATTAATAGTCACAATCATTCAATGGATCAAGTGAGTAAAAGTAAAGACACTTTTCTTGACTTCAAGCGTATTGTGCGTATAAGGCTAGACTTATATTTTATAGACCATGCATCACTCTGTGGGTGATGTGGTCAACATATTGCCGGCTGTGTTTACGTCCAAGGACTTTACCTGATTATCTTTCAAGGCTGGGTCAGCGTTGATCAGACAGGTGCTGTCTTCACAATAAAGGTTGGATGCTATGAATCTTAGACACCTCTGTATACTCTCATGTTTATGCATTCTTTGAGACTGATGTTCGCCCATCTCTTGATGCTATTCTCCCAGCTGAGTAGAAATATGGGTTTTCTTTGAACTGGGGCGCGGGGGGGGGGGGGGGGGGGGGGGGGGGGGGGGGGGGGGGGGGGGGGGGTCAAGGAAGTTCTAAAAATGTTAACGTAGCACAAGCTTTAAAAGAAATAATACTGATACAGAGAGGGTACTTTTGTCATACTCTTGTACCTTAATATTCTGACCAGGTATTAAACATGTTATTAACATTCATTTTGAAAGAACATGATTTCTGTTTAATTCATATATATTTTACCTATTATTTATTAATTAATCTGCTTTTTTTAGGCTAGTACAAAACTACTTGCCAGCTATCCCAAACAACTCCAAGAACAAATACTGGATTATCTTTTTTTGGTAGGAATTTTTTTAAGTTATTTTTTTTAAAGAAAAATCTTTACTCAGTTTGTATTTACTTGCTTAATTACTTAGTTAATCCTCTTCTACCTTGGGGTGTAGAGGTTTACCAGAGTTATCACCAGACGTCTCTATCTGCAATTTGTGTGTGTGGCTTTGTTCCATTTCAGTCCACTGTCATCTAGGGACTGTCAGATATTGTCTTCCCAGCAAACCCTGAGTTGCCCTGGTGGTCTGGTTCCCTGGTTCTTGGCCTCCCATGTCTGCCATTGTGGCTAATTTTCTACTATTCTGCATATATGTCCAAACCATCATAACTGACTGATCACTTGAGTTTGTATGGTCTGTGTTTCAAGATCCTGTTGTATTGTCTGATTGCGAACTTTGTCCCTTCTTGTCACTTAGACCAGGCATAATTATGGCAATCTTTTGATATATTTTACTACACCAGGTTTCCTGGAGAACTTTCAGAAGAGGTTGCTTCGCTGCAACTCCCATATTTTTGACCGTATCTGGTGATATACCATTATGTCCTGCTGCTTTTCCCAGCTTAATCTTATTATTGTTTTTATGTGTCTTAAAGATCATGATAGTTACCTATGTTTGGTATTATCACATTTCAGATTTGCTTGTATGAGCGAACCCTCTATGCCACATCCTCAGAAGGCTGAAGAATATAACATCCCTCTGTTGTCACAAAGACACAATGATGGACACAGAAAATACTGGTACTGATAGGGTGACTTCCATGACCAGTAAAGCCAAAGAGACTAATAAAGATTTCAAAATCTGGAAGATAAACCTCACAAACAGACAGTAAATGTAGAGATTTACAACTGTTGACTATTCCCCTACAACAGTATAACTCCCAGCCTAATTGGTTAAATAAGAAGGATAATGTGGCTGCTGACTTTAACTTGCTGAGATTTAACTCGGTGTTAAGATTTTACGTTTCATTAAGCTAGTTATGTTCACTGACACAAACATTTAATGGTACACTGTAAAAAGGCTCAAATTAGAGGTTTACATGTATAAGATATATTGTATTAAAAAGGAATAATAGTTTTGATTATCAAGAAAAATCAAATCAGTATTTATGATTCCTGGACTGTGGTTGATATAGTTGTTGCCTGAGTGTATTGATGAGAACTCATCCAATGTTGATGGTACTTTTAACTTCTGCTGTTGGTTTGGTTTCTAGACCAGCCATTACTTATTTTTACTCACACAATGTAAACTCATCAAGCTCCACAATCTGATTTCCACCTGGAACTGAAGATATACCATCTGTATAGGGACAGAATGGGTTCACTTGCCCCCAATGGCAATCATGCATTCAGTCCTTATAAATGTATTAATGCATACTTCCATACATGACATGGGGTAGCAGCAAGGGTCTTGTAATTTCACGTGGTGAAATGGGTGCAGTGGTAATGAATACAGCATAGTCTTTGAACTTGAGGGGATACATAGTATACATATTATCCTTGTCCCAAAGATTTTAATTTCATATAGCATTTGAGCATGACATGAAGTTACACAACCAGAAAAACAAGTATTATATTGCATGAGTTGTTCTGATCATTGAATATACTTAGTTAATAACTTTAAATACACACTTACACTTCCGAAGGTTTTGTATTATTTCAACATTACAAGCTTTCATTATAATGATTGTGGAAACTAGGATTTAGATTGTGAAACACTGTGATTGTAAGTACTGGGGAAAACAAGTTTTCATACCATGGCTCAGCTAAATACATTTTTAACGAATTAATTATTGGCCTATGTAAAAATTGTTGTTTTTAACTTTTTAAATATTTTTTTTTAGGAATCCTAATGAGGTCATGACCTATTTTTTCAAAGGGTTAAGAGTAAAAGAAAATATATTTATTAAATGATACTTTTTCATTTATTATTTTGAATGATGCAAAATTGTTAATAATAACAGCCATTTTCTGTCCTGTAATCTTCTCTGTGAGTTATTATGTTGGCATTGCTTTTCACTGAGTCTTTCATTTTCTGTGCATGCTACTTTGGCAGCAGTGACGACAGTACAGGTAGACTTTCAGAATAAGATAACTTTGAAATAACAGACATGTTAGGATTTGATATAAATTCAGATTAACTCGTATGATACCAAGCAAATAATCTCTGTTGTTTCCAGTGATCCAATCATGTTGCAATATAACTGTGTTTTTTTCTTCTTAACTTTCCCTTTCACCTAGCCCAACTTTGGAGCTTCTCTGCAAATTTTGAAAGTTGAAATTGGTGGAGATGTTCAGAGTACTGGTAAGTGTGTGTAGACCGGGGTCGTTCTTCTGGTTTAGTTATCTGCTGCTAATAGGTCCTTTGTATGTGTGTGCACTGTGTGTGTGTGTGTGCATATGTACGTTGGGGGGGGGGGGGGGGGGAATTAGTTATTGTGTGTGAATGTGTGCATGCATATATAAATAAATAAAAGAGAGAAGAAAAGTTTTTATTTTTTAAATTTCTGTAAGATTGTTTATCTGTAATTTCACGACCTGCTGTATTAATTAAGTATGTAACAGTAATGTTAGTTTCATTATTTCAGTAAGTTTTGCTGTTAAACTTCAGATCAGTGAATCGCAAATAGAATTGAGAAGAAACAAAAGCTTTAGTGATGCCATCATTACACTGCAACAGGTAGCAGAAAAAAACTATAAAATAAGATAACGCGCTATATCTAGCATACATAGATCAAGAAAAAGCATTCAATTGAGTCAACCATCAGCTACTTTGGAAAATATTAAGGGCCTTTGAAGTTAGTCAGTATCTGGTAAACAAGTATAGATGTATGTATAACATTAGCCAAGTTGTAGTGAGATCAAATGCTGGATCAGATCATTAAAGTATCCCTATTAATGAGGACAAAAGTGTACTGAACTCCTATTTTGTAGGTGACCAAGTCCTCATGGTGACTACAGAAAAAGAGCTGCAGAAATACCTGGATAATCAAAAAATATAAGCAGAAGTACAAAAGATGAAAATTAACAGAAAAATAGAAGTTATGACAATTGCAAGAACTAAGCAGCCAATCAAGATATGTGTAGAAAATCAACAACTCAAGCAAGCAAAAGACTTCAAGTACCTACATAGCATATTTTCATCCAATGGAAAAATGGAAGCAGAGATTGATCACAGATGTAATAAAGCAAATAAGACCATTGGGCAGATGCGCCAGTTTTACAGAACAAACATCTAACAATTGAGAAATACAAAAATAAATGCTATTTAATACAACATTTTTTTTAAAACCAACATTGTGTTAATAGTGCCAGACATGGAAATTAACAACAAGAGAAAAGAAAACAAAAATCAAAACAACAGAAATGACATGTCTATGGCAAATCCTAAATGTAACTAGATGATGTCAGGAAAGAAGTTGGGATAGAACCAGTGTTAAACTGCATCAAGAGGCAACAGATCAAGTGATTTGGACATCTGTCAAGACTTCCACCAGATAGTGCACCATAGAAAGTCCTGTCACTTAGACATAACGCAGGCAGAGCCAGAGGTCGACCACACAAGTAATTGATGTGTGAAATATTTTCAATACCAGCATCTACATAACAAATACTTGCACCCGAGGCACCCTTACCTCTTCAAAACCTGAAGCAGGACTAGAGAAAATATGTTATCCTGATGTTTTTTAAATTCCTGTTTATGTGTTTTCTACATTTGTTTAGATGGATCAGAAGCATCACACATGCACACCGCTTGGGAAGAAAACTACTCCAGGGGATACGAATGGTGGCTGATGGTAGAAGCGAAAAAGGTTTGAGATCATTTGTAACAAAGTTAAAATAAATGTGCGTCTCTGTGGCTTGACGTGAGTGAAATCGCTTTATAATCCTTGATTTACTAGGATTAGATTTATGTGATCGGCATGTGTGCGCTCACACACACTGTCAAAGTCTGTTATCTTCTATATACTTTTTTTATTTTTATTTGTTTCTGTTCAGCAGTTATGAAATACATATCATACTGCTAATCTTCTTCACAGTGATGTGCAGTTGAATACATTTTTAAAAGAAAAGATACATGCCTATGATAATATTCACTGAGTAACTTTAAATTATTACTTTTTTACTTTGTAATAATAAATTTGTCTACCCATATTGTCATTCTGTGTCCATGTAGAACATCTTTAATGCTATCAGTACATATTTCCTAGGGCCACCTCTTATTTTCACAGCAGATCTTTTTATGTGTAGCACTTGTGTTGGTAGTTGTTGTGGCGACATTCTACACAGTTTCCAGTCTGTTTGATGGTAGTATTTCTTACTTTTTCTCTGATGGTTCAGCTGGTGGCTTTTTTCAGGCATCTGATTTTACAGGTGTTAATTTACATAGGTTAGCCTTTGATGATGTCCGAGTTTGTAACTGATTGCTAAGTGCTGGTGTGACTGTGCTGTCTATAATCTGCATCTTAACTGTTTTTTTATGTTTAGATGTCTTAATAATGGCATCAGTTGGTACGTGTGACATTGATCAGTGGATTATTAGGTAAACATAAAAGTAAATTATATCAAAATTTAGTCTCAAACTATCATTCCCACATGACTAGATAATTTTTCAGTGTTCTTCAACTTTGTTACAGATTTTCCCTACCTTGTTTCATGATTAAACATTTTTAGTGGCCTACCTGGTCTTCTCCATGGCCCATCACTGGCTCATGGGTTAAAGAACACTGATCTAGATGACTACGTGGACATTTTGCAGACTGGTGGCATGAAAAATAATAGGAATACAAAAAAAATATTTAAAAAAAAATGAGGAAAACAAAACAGAGATTTTTATATTCAGTTTTACAAGCAGCTATTGGTACCCGACCACCACACATTTAGTCCCAAACAAATTATATCACTCCTGAATAGACACCATAGATGCAAAATAGGTACCAGATGTATAATTTGGCATTTTTAAGCAGACTGGAGACAAAAATGGAAATAGCCTAAAATGCCTACAATTTAAATTTTTCTTTGGCACTCGCTTGTTGGGTTTTCTCAAAAATTTACTTTTTCGAAAAGTTAAAAATTTAGTCTCAGACTATCATTTGACACATGAATAGATAATCTGGATGACTAATTTGACATTTTAGAGCAAATTGGTGGCAAAAAAAGGAGATAGGGAGCAGGAAAAATGTGTTTTTCTTTTACATTTTCCCAACCACACATTTAGTTCCCAAAAAATTAATTTACACCTGAATAGATACCATAGTTACAAAATGGGTAATTCCAGATGTGTAATTTGGCATTGTAGAGCAAACTGGAGACACAAATGGAAATAATCTAAAAATGCCCAGTCCTGAGATTTTTCAATAGGCCGTGTCGGGATTTCTAAAAAATTGACCGTTTTCCAAAGACATAAGCATTTAGTCTCAGACTATCATTTGACACACAAATAGATAGTCTAGATGACTAATTGGACATTTTGGTACAAATTGGTGGCATAAAAAGAGATAGGAATTAAAAAAAAAAAGAAGAAGAAGAAAGAAAGGAATTTAGATTTTTCTGTCACGTTTTCCCAACAACTTTTGTTACTTTACCGCCACATATTTAGTCCCAAACAATTATTTTACACATGAATAGATCCTCTCGATGCTAAATAGATAATCTTGATTGATAATTTAACATTTTGTAGCACACTGCAGGCAAAAATAGAGAAAGCCTCTACCGAATGTTCACATTATGGGATTGTGAAAAATGTTTGAGTATGAAAAGCAGTTTATTACCCAAGTAAAAGCATTCTATGTCCAATTTATAGTAAAAATTATAATACATTCAGAAAGTAATAATAACTGATTCTCATTAACATTAGTGAAGGTAAAGTTCCAGAACTTGCTAGGTAATGAAATGTTTTAATGGTGGGAGAATGGTATGCCATATTTCTGCTGCCAGTGGATTTTTTCCCCTGATTTATATTAGATTATTGTTTCTCTCTCTGGCTATCCTCCAGATAACGGTCGTAAATTATCAAGGCGGAAAAAATACCCTAACAGGGCCTCAGTCACGTGTCAATTGCGCACTTCCATCGTCTTAAAATGCGCGCTTACGGCGACTTCTGCCACCGCCGAATTGCCAACTTTCGGCAACTTCCGCCACCGCCGAGAGTGCCCCCCACGCCACTCATGTGGCGTGGATTGAGGCTAAACTAGATGGCTAGGACTCACGAGCAGCAGTTACCGCATCTCCTGCAGCTTCCTTCATTTTATTTGCTTGTAGCGTTATAGTCCATGGAAGTGCGCAATTGACACGCAACTGTGGCCCTGTTAGGGTATATTTTCCGCCTTGATAATTTATGAACGTTATTCGGAGGATAGCCCTCTCCCTCCATCACACCCACTCCTTGCTAATTTTTTTAATTGCATTATTTATTTCAGAGAAATCCAGATATCAAACTTTATGCTCTGGCGTGGGGTTTTCCTGGATGGATTTCACCGGACAAATCTAATCCGTACAAAAATTCTTCGGTCCTGGCTGATTATATTGTCAAATGGATAGCTGGAGCTAGGACATACTACAGTCTGGAAATTGATTTCATAGGGGTACCACTTTAATTATAATTGTAATGAAGCTGAGTAATCATATTGTGTGTTCTTTACATTTACACTAACATCAAAGGCCTTGCTGAAGGCATGGGCTGATGTTACCTTGCCAGTGTGCATCATAATTTCCTTCTTTGTTTTTCTCTGTCAGTCAGAATTGCTACTTAAATAGGTAAGCATATCTGTTACTTTTAATTATTTTCGAGTCCACTCTAACTTCTTTTGATGTGCTGTTGATATCTTCAATATATTTGTCTTTTCTTGATTGATTTATAGGCTGACTTTTGATACTCTGTTGCTAAATCATCAATTTTTCTTCATTGCTCTGTTTGCTAAATTGAACAATATTACCTGCAAAATCTAGATCCTCTAGTTGTTTCTGTTTTCCTGGTCAGTTGGTGCAGATATTTCCTGCACATCATTATTTTACTTTAGTTTAGACTACAAACAAATCACTTAAATCATAATATGTTCACACTACACATTCTGAGCCTTCATACGTTGCTTTAATGTTTGTAATTTGCAGAGGTATACCATAAAATGATTCCCAACAGTGATGTTTTGTTTAAGTCTTTCAGTCACCAGGAACGCATTATTCGTTCATAGGTTCCTACCTAGAAGCCCAGTGAATGCATGATGTGCAGATTTTACATCTTTCTTCACTACCCCTTGGGCCTCTGATGCTAATGGATTGCTATTTTTTTAACAGTTCTTCCTAAATACAGTAGAACCTCGCTTAACGAGCACCTCTCATAACGAGTAATTCGCATAATGAGCAAAACAAATTGTAAACTTGTTTAACGAGCCGCGTTTCGCATAACGAGTGGGGAGGAGAGGGGAAGTCCTGGATTGTGTGCATATTACATCATTCTGTGTTTAGCACTCGTTCCAGTAGCATCGTAGTGTCGCTTGTCATCACACATTTTCTCAAACTTGTGTTATATTGTGAAATATGTACATGAATCCTCCAGGCCTACAAGATGACCTCTCTGAAGAATTTAAGATCATCAAGATTCAGTTTCTGCCTTCTAACACCACTCCGTTACTCCAGTCCATGGACCAGCAAATTATTTCTAACTTTAAGAAGCTCTAACCTTAGCACTCTTCAAGCATTGTTTTCAGGTGACTGAAGGGACCAACATTGCTCTCAAAGAGTTTTGGAAAAACCACTTCCACATCGTTGCCTGCCTCAAGATGATCGACAAGGCGGGGGAAGGGGTTACCAAGAGAACCCTAACTTCTGCTTGGAAAAATCTTTGGCCGGAGAGCGTTGTCGAATGTGACTTTGAAGGGTTCGAGACAGTACCTGTGGAAATTGTAGTCAATGAGATTTTGTCTTTGACCACTATCATGGGATTGAAGGTGGATAACAGTGATATCGAAGGGCTTGTGAAAGAGCACAGCCAAGAGCTGACCACCGAAGAGTTTATGGGGTTGCATTGTGTTTCCCAGCAAGAAGTTTTGGAGGAAAGTTTGTCAGAAGAGGAGGAGGAGGTAACAGAAGAGCAACAATCTTCTGGCGATATAAGAGAAATGCTGAAAGCATGGGAAACTGTTGCATCTTACATTGAGAAGCATCACCCTAATAAGGAAGTGGCTATACACGCTGCAAATTTATTTAATGATAATGCTGTATCGCATTTTCACAAAATTTTGAAGCGTCAGCAAAAACAAATGTCTCTGGGCATCTTTCTAGTAAAAAATAATTAGCTATGTATCATAATTATTTTTACTCCCCCCCCCCCCCCCCATCCCCGCAAATCGAATTCGCATTTTAGGTTGATTCGTTCCACGGTGGAGGAAAAGATGAAGATGATTCACTGTCCTTATCAATATGTATATAACTTTCTTTGAATAACCGTTATACATAACATTGTGTGAGTATTTGTTCAACATGGAACGCATTATCGTATTGTACATTCATTTATATGAGAAAAATTGTTTCTCACAACGAATGTTTCGCTTTACGAGTATGATTCTGGAACAAATTATGCTCGTTAAGCGAGGTTCCACTGGAAGTCTCAGATTAATTATTTTATCTAAGCAGCCTCTTCCAGGTTGAAAATCACCTTGTTCTACTCTCACTACCCCTGTAATTGTATCACAGACTCTATTGTTTGTTTGTTTTAGTATCCAGAAGCCATGAGTTGTTAACCCTTAGGCTCGGTATTATGGATATCGCAACCTTTCGGCCTTGATTCCATAATAAATACCGTAAATCTGGGAGAAATGTGGCTTTTCTGCCTACCCACGGGAGTGAACCCGGACCACAAGGAGTTCGTCAACCGGTCACCGCGCAATCCTGTTTAGCTAACTACGCTAGAGAGCAAGGCCACAGACTATATATATATATATATATATATATATATATATATATATATATATATATATATATATATATACATATATATATTCTCCTTCTCTCTCTCTCTCTCTCATTCTTTGTTTCTCTTTGTTTCTCTTTCATTCCCTCTTAATTGCCTTTCCCTTTTACTTTCATCTTCGTTATCGCACCCTTTCTGCAGCCAATCTCTCCTATTATTTCATGTGTAACAGTCTATTGTTCCATACATTTTTCAGATATGGAATGAAAGAGACTATAACATAGGTTATATTAAGGTATGATTTGAAACTTTTTTATCTCACATAATTTAGAGAAATATGAATGTTTAACACCACAAAAATACATTTTTGCATTGACAAATAAGAATATTACAGATGAAATTAATAACTTTGCTACAGCTTATTTAAAAAAAAAAGCCTGTAATATTTAATAAAAATATTGTATGATTTTATGTTAAAGCTGGTGTATAATGTATGGTGCAGAAACCTGGGAAATGAACAGATAACTATGAAATCCAATTGGTTCTCTGGAAATGTGGTTTTACAGAAGAACAAGTCATATTTGAAATAAAGAACAAACAGAAATAACTGAAATATTTAGGCCACATTAAAAGACACTTTTAAAAACCAAAATGGAGGAAAGGGTTCAGGGCTAGAGGTAAACACCATTATAAGAGGGAGGACAACCTTAAGAGATGGACAGCCATATGAGAGAGTGTACAACAAATACAAGAAACTGAGTCATTGTAAAAATGGCACCTGATTGATTGATTGATTGAGTGATTAATGCTGGACCAAGAAGAAGAAGAAAAAATCAATATCCTACTATTATACATGACATCCTACTTGAATAAGCTATGCTTCATTGATAGACATACCTACATTAGTAGCTTCTACTGCTTAAGCATATTTTTTGTCTGTGTCTGCAAGGGGTAGACACGACATACCGTTGCAGAAAATGGTCGGTCAATGCAGGGAGAATATAAACATGTAGATACGAATTTGGATACTTAGAGGAGATGGGTGCTGCCAACCTGAAATATGTGGGGCTTGTTCATCAAGTGGAAGACAAAGAAAGATAGTGGCTTTGTGTGCTAGTGCTTCAATGAGTACACCTCAATGACCCTAGTGGGTCAAGGGTTATGTTAGCTTCTATTAATATTATCAGTTTCCAGCTGTCAGGTAAAAGAATGCCTTGAGCTGTTGAGATGCAGAGCTGTCCACATACTCTGATAGGTACTCCGTTTTCTGTACTGCGTATACCATACTCATGTGTTTTGCCTATCCTCTATAACAAGGAGGTGGGTCTTTCCCTTCACTTAGACAAGATCATGATGTCATTTCACATACTGATATCCCTGTGTGAGTTCCAGGACCTCTTAAGAAGCATGTCATAAAAGTTGACTAATTAAAGCCTTGACGAAATTGGACGAGAGGGACCAAAAGGCACACATGTCAAGGATTGGCTGTAAATCACAGCACTTGACAACTGCCCTTTTGGATTGATGCAGACAAAGAAGAAAAACATGATATTCAGTATTTAAAAACAGTTTGTAAATCTGGCAGTGTTGAAGGTACTGCTATTGGGTGTGAAATGTTAGACTTTCACATGTTCTAGACTACATCACAATGAGGCTATAAACCAAGCCAATGAACTCAGTGCTCTCAAGTAGGGAGAAGGAGTAGATGATTCAGGAGATGGCAATAAATCTGCAACATTAAAAGACTTCAAGAACTTCAGGCCAAAAGAAGAATTGCCAGACATGAAGACCATATGGGTAGAAAAAGAAGAATACTAAGCCAAAATATAACTGTCATTATCAGTCACCACACACTGAGGGATATACCAAAGATGGGATCTGAGTGCTTATGGATTTGTCTGATGTGCAATGAGGATATCGGGTAATTAACTAACATAGTGAGGCTAATGGCTTATTTCTATCCTCACCATCTTTTTTTTTTCTTCTTTTTTTTCTTCTACTTGCAAACAATTCTCAGCAGCATCTACTGCCTTGTTATTATTCCTTAGAGGTTGAAATAAAGAACCCTGACATGAGTTATGGATTTAACTAATACTCCATTGTCTTGGTTCATTACTTTAAAGCAGTGATTGCCATTTGGTTTCTGCAAAACAAATCTAAGGGGTCTATCAAATAATTTACACCCCCCACCCCCCTTCCCCCCAAACTTGATCCTTTTTTCCCAATCATAACTCTTTCAGTACCAAGCGACGCACTGAGCCTTCATTAGTTACTCCATCTGCCTGTTACTTTTGCTAAATATTCATTCCTATAGAAATGTTTAATAAACTCCCTTGTACATCTTCAAAAACTTTTGACTTCACAGTTTCTGTGGTTTTTCCCCCTTTGTTCACCCCCCCCCCCCCCTCTTACAAACATTAACTTATTCTGTTTTATGCATTAGATTACATTGAATTACTAACATAATTAACAGGTTAAAGTAATGGGTATCTGGGACAGAAGGAGTTTAAATATGACTGTTAAAAATCTGGGTTCCATTGCAGGCCTTTGAACATAAGAGGTGTTTGTGGGTCTTAACTAATTGGAAATTAATGCTTTATTTGTGAAAATATATGACAGTTTATATATATATATATTTTTTTTTTTTTGATTGGTGAAAATTAGAATGGTAGGATTTCTTCTTCTTCTTCTTGTTCACCGGCTGTGAATTCCGGCGGTAAGTCGCGGTTGTTCGTCCAAAATGGACTTTTGGCTTTTACCTTGCCCTGAGTTTTGCGTGTACATCCGTTTTACTGGCTTATTTGTTTGCAGTTCTCGTTCCCCGCCTCTCCGGCAGATGTACTCCGACTTCGGAGGAAACCGAATGGTAGGATTTCAACTTCATTTATTTCACTGATGATATTTTATGTGCGTTCCAAAGATTTTACACATATTTCCTCATATGTATTTGTTAAGTTTTCAGTTTCATCCTAATAATACTTTTCTTTCAACAGACTTTAAGGGATGTTCTTGATCAAAGAGGATTCTCAAATGTCTTGATCATAGCTTCAGATAATGGGTGGGGAATTGCCAGCGACGTTTTGAAGGATCCTGAATTAGCTTCAGATGTATATGCTATTGGGTAAGTGAAGATAACCTCTTCCCTCCTTTAACTCTTTTAGTAAGCATATGATACTTTAACTCCTTATATCTTGAAGAGTTGAAGGTTAAAATCAATAAGCGCTAATCTCTGAAGGAGTTTAACAGAGATGGTTTGGGTCAGGATTAGTTAAAACTAATAATTCATGTACATAGGGTTTACGCCCCATGTGGGTTCCGGGGCCCTACTGTGGGGAAAACAAGAATAGACCCACTGCCTCCACAACAAGCATGTCGTACCAAGGAATTAACTAATTGGGAGCTTCCTTCGAAGTCGGAGTGCATTTGCCCGAGCGGCAACGAACCTACCACTGCACACAATTGTTCATTTCAAGACCATCCTCATTGCAGGTTGGGCGTACCCATAAGTACTCAGATCTTTTCCTGAGCATGTTTCATAGTGTGTTTATGCTGACAACTCCTGTTCTGTGTTGGTTGATGTAGCAACTGTAAGGTTTTGTATCATTTTCACGTTGCTGCTCCAGTTGGTATAGCTAGACCTCGGAAACGAGTTAGAGAGAAATTATTATCTTCACTTTTGAGAAGAAAGAAAGGTAACTGGAAGAAAAGAATACGAAGAAGCAAAATAAGCAGAAATATCTCCATGAAAATGTGAATTCTGATGCCATTGGTAGGGTAAATAGCTTTTGCTGTCAATAGAGACACTGGGGACAAATAAGGCTTTGTATCACAAACTGGAATGTTCACTTACTACACACTCCTACATGTCTGTGTCTGTGTGTTTGTGTCGATGGGTGTGTCTTTGTGTGTGTATGTACGTACGTACATACATATGAATGTACATATGTATGTATGTATGCATATATGCGTGTGACATGTGTATGTAATATGTATGTATGTGTGCATGTATGCGGGTGTGATGTGAGTTTGTGTGTGGCCGTAGGAGTGTGTGCATGCATTTTACCAGCAATGCTTTTGTGTTTTTCCTAATATTCATAATATGCATATTATTACATGAACATAACACGCTTTATTGATCAAATACAGCTGCTGTGTGAAAGACGGGTGTTTGGAAGGGCTGAAAATAAGATGGGCCTGTATGTCCAATTTGTGACCCTTTGAAAATAATTTGTTCATTTGTTCGTTCCTTAAATTTTAAATAGAAGATTAAGCTATCTATGAACTTGTCTGGTGTGTAATGATAATCGTTCATTCTGAAAATTGTATTATTGCATGCTATTGTTGTGGAACTACTCATTTATAATCACCATTTTGTTTTTTGCTTTCTCTTCCAAAGAGCTCACTATCCAGACACATACTCATCCACGGCAGCTCAGAAAACAGGACATTTGCTGTGGGCTTCTGAAGATTATAGTACCTATAATGATGAAGTTGGGGCCGGGTGCTGGGCAAGGGTAGGTAACTGATGTCAGTTTGGGAAACAATATACATCCCCATGTAGGTCCGGGGCCCCATTGTGGGGAGGAAAAGAATAGACCCACAACGATACTAATCAGCATGTCACAGTATAAGGTAACTTATTAGAGGTATTGCCTTCAAGTCGGGGTGCATCTGCCTGAAATGTAGTCTGTATAAAAATAAGCCAGATCTGTACAACATGTGTGCTTGCAAAAGTGCAGTTCTGCAACAAGAATAAAGTCCAGAAGTGGAACTTTATGTTGGAATTTACAGCCGGTGAATGCTAACAATAAGAAGAGGAAGATTTTTGTGTGGCTTGCCTCTTTATCGAGTATAAACACTGCTCCCTTCTACCATCACTACAGGCCTATTCTTCTATTACTGTTTCAGCCTCCAGGGTCTGTACAACAGTTTGCTGTCAGAAGAAACTGTTCCCATTTCTAATTTTTAAAATAAAAAAAAAAATCTTGGATTATGCCGCTCAATTTCATGTCTTTCAGCTCTTTACATTTAATAACAGAGATGCTTCAGTGCACGTCAGTTATCTTTAGTGTGTATATAAAAGTATAATATTTTCATGTTTACAGTTGTATTTATTGCTTTTGCTGCTGTTTGTTAGGAAACTATTGTTTCATTCCAGCTCATTTCTCTTTGCTACTTTCACTGATAGAGGTCACTGTAGATGTCACACAGTTCTGAAATACACAGTTTTATTCATCTTACAGTCCTTGTTTAAGAACTTTATAACTTTGTCTTCAGAAGAAAGAAGAAAAATATTCACAACAGAAATGAAATATTTATGTATCTAGCTAGGTCTAACAAGGAAAGATAAACTTATTAACAATGATATCAGGAGAAGAGTCAGCACATAACCAGTACTGAACTTTTTCAGTATGCAAAAGATCAAATGCTTTGACCTTGTAACCTGACTGGCAACAGACGTGCCACCCCAGAGATTAGTGGTATACAGATAAATCAGTAACATATCCAGAGGTTAACCACACAGAATATGGATGCAGAAATATACATGACACACTGAAAGCCACTATATGCAGAGCGAAAAAAGGGCCCATTCCAGAAATCTCTTCCTGCCCTGGTGCTGCAATGTATTCCATCAGTAGAGAGAAAAAAATCATAATTTTATTATTAAATAAAGGGGACTAATTCAACACCAACGGCCTATCAGGCATATGTTGCAAGACGCATGAATTTAAAGACCAGTGATCACTTCGATGGGCCTGACACTACACATGAGATCGTCTCTATACATCCCAGGACATTTTCTTTTAGACTAGAGCACAGGGTCTGTTATAAATTACCCCAGTGATGTCAGCCGAAGACTTTCGGGCCAATCGGCAAGTGTAATTTTATGGTACCAAAGTTTTATTAGGTTTGCCTGTCCGTTATTTTTTAATGTACATTAATTTATTAGAGAAAAGACCAACTGCCCCTTAACAAACATGTTTTAAGGGTGACTAATTAAGGTTTGCTGCAGTCATATGTGTTGTGCTTACAGATGCAGATATCACAGCCTAGCTGTAAACCACAATACAACATGCAACCGACCCTTTGGGAGTGAACACAGAAGAAGAGGAAAAAGAAGAAATATTTACGTCCTAAAATGTAAAAATGTTCATTTGACAAAAAATTTATATTTGCAATTTTATTTGCAGACTAATTTAATGTAAATATGTTCATTTCAGACTCTCAATCAGAACTATGTAAATGGTCTTATGACAGCGTAAGTAGTAATATTTAGGTTACTTTCGCATCTTTTTCACATTCATAGACCATAAACTCAGGCAGAAAGTCTTGTTCATCCACTTTTGTACTTTAGTTTTGTTCCAAGACTGGAGTGTTGTATACACATCCATTTGACATATCTGGCTTATTGTGTGCTGACTGTTGTGCCTGCGTGCTCAATCCTTAACTCTTTGAAAAGAAATTGTATTTGTTTCATTCATTTGACTTTGGAGAAATAATGTATATGTTCAGTTTGTTTTGCGGACCATCTGTTTTGATAACCAGCTGCACACACATGTGATTGTTACCTACTCACAAAGTCTTCAGAACATCTAAACAGATGGCTCTGTATTGAGGGGCAGACGAAGTGCATGGGAGTCCATAGCAAAGGCGAATGGATATCGCTTAGTGCATCAGAGCCTTGCATATGATATCACAACTTCTAGTTTGAGAATGGAGGTGAAGGCAGTCTCTGCTGCCTTCCACTGGCTTGAGAATCAGCTGTACACAATGCTTTGATTGTAACTGACTCACAGAGCATGTTGAGAAAGGTTAAGACAGGCATGCTTCGTGCAGAGTGGCAAGCATCACTTCAGAGGTCTTAGGTAGTTATATCCTTTGGATATTTCCTTCGGATTATGCTGGTGTTTTGGGAAATGAGCAGGCAGATAGACTGGCTGGCTCTGCACCACTTGGTGATGAGTTGATGTATGACAAGTTAGATATAATGAGGCCCTTTGGGAACGAGTGAACAGTGCAAGGGTGCAGATAGATCATTACGGTCTAAAGGGAATGGCGCTGCGAGGAGTTACCAAGGGATCTGGCCGACGCTCAACACTTAGGGGAAGGATGAGACGGAGATACAATCAGACTGTTTCTGGTGCCATTGGAATTGGAACTCTTTGTTTGCTGCTGAAGATGTGGACGAAGCACTCATGGGAGTGTCCCGAGTGCTGCAATGTCAATTTTTAATTCAACATTCAAAGTCTTCAGAACTTGGTGACAACTGAAAGGATTGAAGGAAAAAGGAGAATTCAGAGAGATAAATACCTGGATGGTTTGGCAGCATGGATGGAACAGGACAAGAGCACTGACTTGATTCATGATTATGTGAGATGGCATACAATGATTGTCTATGCTTTTCAGCAGAGCAAATGATGATGACGTATATACCATACAAAGGAATTGGAAACCAAGCTTCTGAAAGTTATTTTTCTTTAAATTTGTTAAGTCTCTGGACTTTGTAAACATATGCCTAGATTTTGACACACAAAAATTGCTAAACTTGAATTTCAGATCCAAATGGTATATGATGGTATTTCTCTTTCAGTACCATTTCATGGAGTTTGATTGCTAGCTACTATGAGGGTCTTCCTTTCTACAGAGATGGGTTGATGACGGCTGCTGAACCATGGAGTGGACATTATGTTGTCAACAGCCCTATTTGGGTTTCAGGTAGCTTTTGTGTAAATACAGTTGTAATAGAGCTGTGAAAAGTATATACTGTATGTGATGTCCCATAAGTTTGCAACATAGAAAAATAAACATATCACCAAGACCGTAATGTGGGACACAGTTTTTCATTATTCTAAAGCCCCACCCCGGATGTAGTCAGTGATCCTAATGTAACCTTGTGTTGAGTGATACACAATACTTCTTCTTTGCTTACACTTTATTGGGCGGTTAGCACCACTCTTTAAAGGGTGGTTAGCACCACCCTTTAAGGGGTGGTTGATACCATTATATTGTAGTATACACCTGGGTAAAATCTGCATCTTTTGGCGTAATACCTTATTAGTCACCTATTACAACAAGCTTATTAATTTAATGTTTTTTTTTTTTGGAAGGGGGGGGGGGGGGGGGGGGGGGGGGGGGGGGGGGGGGGGGGGGGGGGGGGGGGCTGAGAATTTCCTCTGTAAAATGTGGCTTGAGAACCCACATGTGGAAAACAGGACACATTAGCAGTTTAAGTGATGGCTGATGTTTGTTAGTTAGTTAATATCCAGTACAGGATGTTGCGGGAGTTGCCGTGGCAGAGCGGCTAGACGCGTGCCGTGAATGGGAAGGTCGTGGGTTCGCTCCCTGGCAGAGACGGACTTTTCTTCAAAAATGACCTTGGCTCCCAGGTCGACCCAGCCTTGAGTGGGTACCGCGTGCAATCCCGGGAAGTAGAGGCGGCCGGCGTGATGCTGACCACATCACCCATCTTGTGCCGTTGGTCTATAAAAATATAGGTCTAGCCCTATATGCCCTATACGCCTAAAGGCGTGGAAAGGGTCCTTTACCTTTTTTTTTTTTTTTTTCTTTACTTACAGGATGTTGCAAACCAAACCTGGCATTTGTCGGCCATGTGTTGTTATACTAGGCAATAACATATGTTATCAGAAGAAGACAGTAACTTTTGGTCTACATCAGAAGAGGCATTATATTTTGGAGGATCACTTATTTGGCTTTATTATCAGAAGAGGAAAATTGCATTACATTTTGGAGGATTCCATTTTTAATTTTCCACATTATTAGAAGACATCTTCTTCTTCGTCAGCATTCCGAGCCCTTGAGGTTCGCTGCTGCAGATATCACCGGCCTCTATTCATCTCTGGCCTTCTCTTTCCAGTTGGTGGCACCAAGTGTTTGCAGGTGTGTCTGGACATTATCTTTCCATCGTCTTCTTGGTCTGCCTTGTGGTCTACGACCATTCATCTCCCTGGTGTATACAGTATTCACTTCTCTGTCATCTGACATTCTTTCAATATGCCCCAAAAATTTCAGTTTGTTAGCTCAGATTATGAATTTTGTTGCTGCTTCTCACTTTCCATTCCCCGCTGTTTATTTTTGTATTAAAGATTCCATGCTGCTGGAAAGCATGATTGTCCACACCTACAGGCATCACATTTGATGATGATTAAAATACAGTTATTTTTAAATTATAAGTATTTTAACCAGATTAATTTAATTTGATATTTCAAATGCTACCCAGCACATACAACTCAGTTTACTTCATTTGGATGGAAATATCTTCAACATGGCAGTGGTGTCGGCAAACTGCCGCAGGGAGGCTCCTATGTTGGTCTTGTCAATCCGACTGTAGGAGATCTTACAATTATTATAGAAACTATGGTAAGTATTCATCTGTAATTTACGGTTGGCTGAAAACAGTACAGTGAAAATGATTGTTTATGATTTAGAAATGTTTAAACACCTTTCAAAAGCTATTAGTTTCTTTTACATAAATAGAGGCGGAACCCTTGAAGCCAAATAAATATTATAGATATATAATTAATAAAGAGACAATGTATTGACTGGCACTCATAGAACTTTCTATGAGTGCCAATCAATACATTGTCTCTTTATTAATTATGTATCTATAGTATTTATACGGCTTCAAGTGTTACGCCCCTGTCTATTTATGTGAATGAATTTATGGAACCTACCAGTCAAATCTCTTTCTTAAATGTTTGTGTATTCTAGACAAAGCATTATGATCTGCTGCGCTTGTAAATTGTTGCTGTGTTTGTTATTTGATCTGTGCTTTGTTAATATACATTTCTGTAACCTATGGTTTCATTTCAGTGGTTTGAAATGAATTCTGTCCATATTCCATAGTTGTGGATTTCAAGCTGTATGATAGACATGCAAGTGTGGACATTTTTTGAGGGGTGCCTACTTGGCTATGTTCTTGTTTCCATAGTGATATTTTTATGTGTGCAACAATGCACACAGGCCTCCAGTCTCACTACCCAGAGACCAGGGGGAATTACTAGAAGTCCAAGTCCACATTAAAAAATTCTAGCCCTTACTGTGGATTGAACCCGCAACCTCTAGCACTCAAGGCGAACCATATGCCTCGAGACCCCGCAGCCCTCCCCAGATTCATAGAGAAGCAGAAGATTAAACAGTTTAGTCATCTCATCAGAATGCAGCCGCAACAATTACCAACACAGGCTTTACACCCAAAAAGATCTGATAAGAGCGAGAAGATGCACAAGGAGAAGATAAATTAATTAAATTAGAAACATACATTTACATAGAAATACAATCACCAGTGCCACCTGTCAAGCACTGAGCCACAAAATTCTTTGAGTTCATCCCCACAAAATTCTGGGAGTTCTCCCTACAAAATTCTGGGAGTTCATCCCCACCCAAATTGTGGGAGTTCATCCCCACAAAATTAGTGTCAAAAGTAAAAGTTGATGATGATCTTTAAAATAGTTTCCACTGAACATGTATAAAAACAAAAAACAACTTATAATCACCCATATAAGACAATAAGTTTTCAAACGTACTTCATAATGCTGGGGTGTCGGGTTTGGTCCCCGCTGCTGACAGTTTGCCTTGAGTTGGTTTCGACAGTGGTACTGAGAGCTGACCGTTTAAAAAGCAGTGGCAAACTATTGAATGTAAAATTTGCCTAGAAAAACAATACAGCTGAAAAAAATGCTGGGTTGGTTCTGCATCGCCCTGTAAAGGATACACAACTAACTTATTATCCTAACTGGTGTGCCCAGCTAATAACAGATATATTGACATGCTTCATTTGCTTACTAGCCAGATATCTAAGCCACCCGCAGCAAATTTTGTAAACTCTATAGGTGCATGTGTTTTCAGGGCCCCATTGCGGGGAGGAGGGAGAGAGAATTGGAACCACTGCATCCCTAAAAAGCATGTTGTAAGAGTAAATTAATTAGGGGTTTTCTTTGAAGCTGGCTTACATCTGCCTGAGAGGCAAGGAACCAACAGTCTGCATAGAAATTAGCCAGATCTGTAAAATGTAGAGTCCAGAGGTGGACAAACAACTTTCTCCTGGAGTTAACAGCTAGTGAACGTGAAGAAGAAGAAGGTATTTTTTAGGAGTGCAATATTTGTCTTACAGAACATTCTAACATTCCTTTTTTTGATTTGTTATTTTAGACTCATGCTCACTCACACTGCGTGTATTCTAGAATACCAGCTTATACTGTGTTACCACAGAATATAACAATAGTTCTTGGAGGTCGCTTTGTAAGTATGTTATTATGTATAAATTCTAGTTATTATTTTATCATTAAGTTTTAGTTACTAGTTTTGATGTTTAATTCTATTTGATGTGTAGAAACATGTGTTTTTATAAAAATAATTATTATAGTAGACTAGACCAAACTATTAATTTGTCAGATTCCCTACATTATTTTACAATGAAGAACTAATGCTTCAGTATAAGTTACTGATTTGATGGTTAATTTCATTTCGACATGTATATGTTTTTATTTTAAAAAAAAGAAATATTTTTTTTAGCAAACTAAAACAATGTAATATCTATCAGTTATCAATATATAAAAAAAGATAATTCCACGTTGTGATATCTAAGTTGAAGGAAAAAGACTTAATCAAGTCAATAAATTTAGATAACTGGGAACAATCATATCATCAGATGGAAAATGTGTGGCAGAGATTAAAAGCAGAATAAGTCAAGCGAAAGCTGCATTTTAGAAAATGAAAAATATCTTATGCAATAAATTGCTCTCATTTAATGTCAGAAAGAGGGTGCCAAAATATTACATAGAACCTGTTCTGCTGTATGGCAGTGAATCTTGGAATGTCACTGAACAAATCAGGAAAAATTTGGAAGCAACAGAGATGTGGCTTCTGAGACTAAAGTTACCAATACCTTGGACGGCCAGAGTAACTAACAATGATTGCTTGAAAGAGGCCAATGAAAGTAGATCTCAATATACAACAATAAGAAAGTGACAAACGCTGTTCTTCGGCCACATAATGAGAAGAGAGACATTGGAGAACATCGTGACAATTGGAAAGATCAGTGGAAAAAGGGGTAGAGGCAGACCAAGAGAGATGATGCTCGATATGCTAAATCGATGTCGTGGAGAGCTATTCCAGTCAACCAGGGATTATGATCTGTGGAGACGCATGAGTGCCTACACCAGTTGGCAGGGCACATGATGATGATATCAGTATATTCGGGGATATTTGTTAATTCATGAAATAGAGTAGAATATTAACTTAATTTGTTAAATAAAAGCCGAGCTTTTTAAAAATGTTATAGCTCTTGAACATTTTGTCAGTTGATAATTTTAAAATTTGATAAATAATTGTCAAACAAATCCTGATTTCAGTGGCACACATTGTAGTTCTTTTCAGTTATCTATTCTCTTCTTCTTAACATTAACCAGCTGTTAACGCCAGTGGGAAAGTCTTGTCGTTCATCCAGTTATGGACTTTGGTCTTGTTCCAGAATTTTAGTTTTAAGCACACACTTTTGCACACTTCTTTTTTTTTTTTTTTTTATGCTGACCACCTCACCTACCAATTGCCGATTGGTCTATAAAAATAAAGGTCTACCCCCCCCCCCTCCCCCGCACCCCCTATATGCCTAACACGCCTTAAGGCATGGAAAAGGGTCCTTTACTTTTTTCTTTTTTTTTAAATTTAAAAAAACCAGTACATTGCTGTTCTGAAATGGTAGCTTCTGCAGCATGCTCTGCAGCAAAAATATTGATGTTGCCCTACTTTTGTATTTAACAAATCAGACAGAAAGGGATAATGTGATATCTTCCAAATTGCCCAGGCTTTGTACCATAGAGAGGAGGAACTTCATTCATTGGGCTTTCTTCATGGGGGTTCCAGGGTCCCATTTTGGGAGAGAGAAATCAGAATAGGCCCATGGCCTCCTAATGAGCATGTTACAAAATTTAACTTATTAGGGGTGTTCACTTCAAAGTTCTAGTGCATTTGCTTGATAGGCGAGGAACCAACAGTCTGCTTTTAAATAAGCCAGATCTGTTAAACGGATGTGCACGCAGTACTTAAGTTCTGGAACACGACTAACGTCCAGAAGGGGATAAACGACCAGAACTTTTTGCCGAAGTTTACAGCCGGTGAAAGCGATGAAGAAGAAGAAGTTACCTGGTCTTCATTTGTATCGCCACAGGCTGCGAATCTGATGCCTTTCTGTAGCACAGTGGCACACTATCATCAGAAATTCAGAAAGGTTCCAGTAATATAATATGTGAATATAATTCCATTTTCAGGCCAGCGTTTCCAAGCTTTATGTTTGGTACAGCCAACTAAGTTTTAACAGTACTCTGGACAGTATGTTTGTTAACAAAGGAGCAGTTGAGGTATGTGCTGTGTTAATGTACAAAAATGTAGCATGTCTATATAATATATTTGTCTCTATAGATGAATTATCAGTAAGCTTTTAATCTATTCATGTACAAATGTGAATGTGCAGTGTAAATTGTTTTACAGATGTATGCAGATAATAGACAATATATGCTGCAGTGATACATGATATCTGCAACAATGAACCTCACGGGCTCTGAATGCTGAAGAAAAAGAAGATAAGAGACAGAAGGGGTAACTACAGTTGAACTGATACTGAAAAAAACACTAAAAGAAACTTTGTGAAGAGAAGGAAAACATATTACTCCAAATGTTTCTTCTTCTTCTTATAGTTGATGCCTTGTGCTGTTAGTAGACATGTCTATCCATAATCTTCTGTCTAGTGTACTTTAAATCAGTTTTGACACAGATGATCCTTCATGATTTAAAACTGTCCAGCATTTCTCTCTTAGTCTCGCTCTGCCTCTTTTCTACTTCATCTTTCCCACCATCTTGAAGCTCTTCATTTTCTCCTTCTCATGACATGAGAATGTAGACTGTCTCCTTCTGATGTTGGCCATCAGTTCTCTTCGTGATTCAGTTTCTTTCAAGACATCTTTATTACTCTTTTTATCTGTCCAATATATTCTAATCCTATAAAACCATATCTCCGATGCTTCCACATGATTTTCGACTAATCAGCCAACTGTCCTGATTCTCGCCCATGTGTCTTGAGAATTCTCTTTCTAATTTTAGTTGAGAATGATAAACTGCATATAATATTCTTCTTTTTTGTGGAATGCTGCTTTTGCTTGACCTGTTCCACATTTAGCTTCTTTAATACATCTTCCATCTGATGTTATCAGAGTAGCCAAATACTTGAACGTATCAGCTTGCTTGAGGATTGTTCTGTTTACTTTGATGTTGCATTTTGGAGGATCATTTTTCTTTGTAACTACCATTACTTCTTGGGGGGTTTTCTGTAAAAACTAAGACAATGTATCTGATGGCATTATAGTTTTACTATCACTGTAAACAGCCACTTGCTTCTAATATGTCCAGATTTATTTTTCTGTAAACGTGTGTGTTTGAGAACCAGCCTGATTATGCTAAAATTACTAGGTATCATCTGAAGAAGAGATAATATGCAGGCAGATCTAAAAACACTAGAGTTACCAACTGGAAAGAGAAGGTCAGTCACAGAGATGAATTGAGACAAACTAAATTTCTGCAGCAGGTAACCTCAAGGGCTCGGAATGTTGAAGAAAAAGAACTTATCCATAATAATTAGTTCATTTTATGAAATTGTTTGAAATTAATTCAGATAGAGGTATGCCTTGCTTGCTGAACAATACACATTGTATATTGTATGTTACATTGTTTACCTCTACTTCACCTGTAATACAAAGACTTCAGTCACATGTTAGAAATATATTTATGTGCATGGTTTTAGTATTTAATAACCAATTATTAACAGTCTCTGCATCCTTACTCACTAAAATCTGAATAAATGTAAATGTTCCTCATGTGGGTTGTAGGGCTCCATTTTGGATAGAAAAGGAATAAACCCTCTGCCCCCCCCCCCCTCCCTCCCCATAAAAATGCATGTCATAAAAAAAGGCAAGTATTTAGGGGTTTTCTTAATCTTCTTCCTCTTCTTGTGTATTGTCCGAGTGATGTAATTGTGTTGCGCGAGTTTACAGCAAAGCTGTGATATTTACACCTTTCGGCCAACACTTACATACTACTTCATCAGACATTTATTCACTGGATCAGCCTTCTTGGCTGGTTTCATGGGACATGATGTAGCCTCATTTGTGTAGTATCCTCTTCATCCCTGGAGAACCCAACCAGGGTGCCCACGTGTAAAATGGTTGGCCCTCAAGGGAAGGCAGAAGAAAATCAAGTGCATATTCTGCTATCCAAGGAAGCTTCCATAAATGCAGAGCTGAGACATGGCGCTCTGGTCCTGGGCTCACCCAAGGAATCATCAGTCCTGCACACAACTGCTTAACCTCACATCCATGTGTTGAGCATTTTCTCAATCTGATTTGATGGGCTGAAAGACACAAATATCATAGCCTTGCTATAAACCCTAACACAGTGTGCCAAACACCCTTTTATAGGTGAATAACTAAAAAAAGAAAAAGATCATCTAAAGTCAGATACAAAATTGTTTGGGGTATAAAATGCAAAATGAATCATTTTCAGAATTCATGCCAATATGGATCAATTCAGAGGTTAGAAATGTTTTGTTTTACTAAGTGAAATTCTATTTGTTTTTTTCCTTTGTTCCATCACTTCTGTTTATCTACCTTTCTATTGTTAAATACTGCAGGCAGGGACTGTTTCCATGGTTGTTGCAGCTTCAGGAATTCTGCTGTCATAGTCTTCACCCTTGTTAAACAGTTGCTTTGGTTTTGGTCACTTTTAAATTTAATTGTTTAAAACTACATGTAGCCAGATTTTTTTTCAAGCAGAAAATAATGAGTAGAATGATTATTGATATTGTCAAAATATCACATTTGATAAGGCTGAACAATATTCTGCATTTATTTTAAATATACTGAAGAATATGTTTCTTTAGTTATATGTGCATCTTCCCCCCAGTGTTGGCTGATGTACAAGGCTTATGAGTACATTCTTTTCAGTGCTTTGATATTTCCATTCCGAATTCTGTTTATCAAAGAAACAGAATTCTTAGTTTTAGTTAGTCTTTTTTGTCTGTTATGGTTCCACTTAATCAGTTACCCCAATTTTTTTGTTAATTCTCATATTTGGTTGTTTATGGTTATTTCAGTTCTTTTAAAACCTACATTGGGAAATTTAAAATTCTTTCAATGTTGTAAATAAAATGAGTACATTCATGTTTGTTCTTTATAAACTTTAGCATTTTGTCACTTATTCTGGAGAAAAGAGTGGGCATTTATGAATGTATTTATTTAAACAAAGAATATGTTGCACATGTATTGCCTGGCATATTTTGTTTTGTCTCCTTGGTAATTCATTTAAAAAACAACTTATGTGAATCAATTTTTTTCATATGATTTAAACACACACACACATGAACATACACACACAGATGTTATTCACCATCCCTTCACCAGAGTTTTTAAGACTTTTTATGTTTTGACCCACTTTTTAGATAAATGTAATTTTGTGACACAGCAGTTTAGTTTACCAGCAAACCAGGGGTTAAACTAACCCCTTATGACTCATAAATTTCAACAAATATAAAAATTGTTGAACATGTAAAAGACATTTAAGAGGCATACTGTTTAACAATTGAAGCCACTAGATGTGGGAGATTACATTGATACTGCTCTTTGCTTTCCTTATCAACCTCGGTATCCAATGGGCAAACATTTTTTTATTGAATTCTTCTTCTTCTGCATTTGCTTTTGAAGGGGTGTTTGCCACCTTATGTTGAGACTGACAGCTAGTCTGCAATATTGACACCTTTTGGCCCAACACATCTAATTTTAACCAGCCCCTAATTAATCACTATAGCACAAAGCCTGGGCTGTATTGTAGAGACCATTTGTTGCCCATGCATCATGACCCCTCTTTCAACCTGTCTTGTTTACTCCAAAGGAAAGGTCATCAGTGTGAAGGAAAACATGATTGCAGAAAAGATGAGAGCTGAGTGTCTGAAAAGAAACAGACTAAACACAAATGTTGACAACATCAGTCATGAAATCCCATGCTATAATTGTGAAAGACTTTTCTTAACACGGGCAGATCCTGCTAGTCACACTCGCCATCGGCATGGGCTGTGAGTCCCAAGCCTCCTCATAGCGCAAAAAACACTATCACCTGGAAAAACAGAATGGAGCTAATCATAATCATAATTTATCACCTTTCACAAAACACTTATTAAAGAGCTGTGAGTCCCAAGCCTCCTCATAGCGCAAAAAACACTATCACCTGGAAAACAGAATGGAGCTAATCATAATCATAATTTATCACCTTTCACAAAACACTTATTAAAGAGCTGTGAGTCCCAAGCCTCCTCATAGCGCAAAAAACACTATCACCTGGAAAAACCGAAAGGAGCTAATCATAATCATAATTTATCACCTTTCACAAAACACTTATTAAAGAGCTGTGAGTCTGTTCTTTCCTTCTCCCCCAAATGGGACCCCGAAAACCACATGGTGAAAGTTTGATTTCATTAACATATCATTTTATTCTAAATACGTTTCTTTCCTGATGATTATAGTTACTTAAAGGCTGCTTTATTTAAAAATTAGATTGTCTTCTGACAGTTTCATGACTTTTGACAGTTTCACTCCTGCGGTGGTTCTGCTGTGCTTGCATGTATCAACCTATTCATAATGTTGACCTCAGGTTGTAAATGGTTCAGTACAGCTCAGCCTAGGATTGGATGAGATGTACACGCTGACCACAGTATCTACAGGATTGAAAGGATCTTACCCGCCACCCCCCGAATCCAGACCATTTCCTCTGCCTTACAGTGATGACTTTGAAGGTAGAACTTTGATAATTTATTATTAACTTTGTTGTTTCTACAGTTTGAGAATGCACATGATCACTTATCACATATAAGGAAAATCATTGTAAAAGAAGAGAGAAAACTGGAACGTGTGACACTATCCTTTTTTGTATAGGCATCTTTCTCTTGGAATCTTTTGGATATACATATTGGGTATGTGGTGCTCGCCCTATATTTGTATAGACCAATCAGCGGTCAGTGAGGGATGTGGTGCTTCTAAGAACACTTTCTAGTTCCCAGATCGCCTGCTTTGCACAGCATAGCACATGAAATATTGATTATTGCAGTAGTTATCGGACACAGAGGCTTTTATGATTAAGGTGAAAAACACAGAAGATGTGCACGCTGTTAATGTGAATTAGACTGCCATTGGAAATAGGGCAAGAAGCTTGCTGGTTGTCAGTCATCTTAGTAATATTTTTAAAAATTAGAACAACAATATTCAAATATATAATTCTCTTATGTGTAAGCCAGAATTAAACTATCTCCATTAATGTGCCAAGAGTAAGTTTATGCACACAAAGTTTGATTTATGATAGTCTTGTACCAAAGTAGTAATCTTTGACCGAATAACCCAAATCAGCATAAATAAGTAAAGCATCCAACATTTCTGATCTTATCAGGCTTCAACTCGTTCACAATAATTTGATGTAAATTTGTAAGGTAAGTTTGTCAGATCAGTTTTAAATGGCATGATTGTCAAATCAACTATAAATGGCATGATTGTCAAATCAACTATAAATGGCATGTTTGTCAAATCAACTATAAATGACATGATTGTCAAATCAACTATAAATGGCATGATCATTGCAACTTCTAGATTTATCTTAGATTTAATGTTTTAAGCATGGCTTATATAATGCTTTGTAGTTATTGTCTAGTTTGGTGTAGTTATTACATTGTTCTTGCATGCAAATTTCACATTTAAAAATGAGTAATATAATAAGATGTTGGCATCTGTAAAGGATATACAACTAACCTTTTTTTTTTAAAATATAATAAGATTATGCATTTGCACTAGTGCAGTTTATAAGACAAAATATTGTGTATATTGTGTCCAAGTTTCATGGGTAGAGAGTTGATAACTTGAATAATATTTATTTAAAAAAAAAAAAAGAGAAAATAAAAGTACTTGCAGTAACAAGCCTACATCATTTGCTCTTGTAGTTAAGTATTAAAGTATACAAAATTGTTTGTAACAGAAATTTCTACAACAGTCAGTTTGTCATTGGCCCTATATTTGCAGCTGTTTATAGAAAACAATTTTAATGTTTCTGTCTTGTTGCTCTTAATTTAATAGTTAAATCATAGCTGTTTAGTCTGAATGAAATTAGCATTCACTATTTACCAAAACCCTAATTTATCTGGTAAACTTGAATACAGATTCTGATTGGAAATGCTGAATAAAATTAAACAGGGGTATTAATTCATATTGTATGATTTTGTTATGTTATTAGGACACTACACAAGGTCACATTAAAGTATCGTCATCACCATAATCCTGTAACCCCATGTGAATGCCACATAAAGTTCTCAGTCAGTTCATTCTGTTCTGTCATATGCAATCCTTTTGAAATTGTTTTTAGAATTCAGTTCAGCACTTCTGGCCTCTCTCAATGATGTTGTCATTAGGTTTTTCAAACATCCTCATTTCCTCTGTCCATTTATTTCTTATTTCAGTGTTTATTTTCAGATTCTTTGTCATCTTTATTTCAGGATGTGCCAGATATTCTGCCAGCAACCTTTCTCTTATAACTGTTGATAACAGCAGTTGTCCAGGCTTCTTTGATTTCTTTGTCTTTCTTGAATTCATCCCATCTAATGTTCATTAATTTTCTTATGCATTTGTCTCTAAATGCGTTTAACTTTCATTTTTTGTCTTTGATTGCTTTCCCTCTTCCACTACTATATGTTAAAATTGAAGTAAAATTTTAGAAAAAAATAATGTTTGTTGATTCGTTGCCACTTTTCTATCTTTCAAAGTGATACTATAATGTAAGAAGGAAGAAATAGTTAAGAAATCCAACAAACATGCAAAAAAGCTAAACAATGTATGGGCCGGATGGCACCAATTTAAAAATGTAAGCATGTGAATATGAACACTAGAAGAACGCTGTACAACACTTACCAATGCTATGCTGTCAGTATCAAACATGGACACTGTCTTCAGAAGACAAGGAAAATAGTCACAATAGAAATGAAATGTTTACATACTATGCTAGGTGTAACAAGGAAAGATTAACTTAGGAATGATGATATCCTGAGGAGAGTCGGCACAGAACCAATACTGAAAGTCTTAGGTATCAGATGGTTTGACCATGCAACAAGAATGGCATGAGACAGGGCACAACAAAGAGCAGTGTTATACAGATACAACAGTAATAGAGCCAGAGGGTGACCACACAGAATATGGACTGCGGAAATATCAGAGACACTGAAAAGTACTTTACACGAAGTGAACAGAAGGGCCCGTTCCAGAGATCTTTTCCTTCCCTGATGCCACAAGGCATTCAATGAGAAAATAAAAGAAGAAGACTAATGTAATGCCAAAGGGAGGCAGGGGAAACGCAGCTCGTGGCAACGCCAAGTGTAAATAGCAAGACTCTTATGCACTATTACTCAAAAGGTTTGAAACAAAGCAAGCTGTGCAATCTGCTGCATCAGAAAATCAGTGCTCTTTCTGTCTGCCTGTTGGAGCTTTCTTCTTAGACTAGCTGAATAATGCTAGAATCAAAATGATATTAAAATTGAATAATTATTCTTAGAATTAAAATGATGTTTAAATTGAATAATGTTAGAATTTAGTAATGTTAAATAATATTAATAATATTACCTCCCAAATATTAACATTATTTAATGTTTTTTACACTTGAAATGATAATGGGAGTAATGTTAGAATTTAATAATGTTAGCACTGAAAAAAAATGTTAAAATTGAAAATACATGAAAATAATTGTGCACGTTTTTCTTGTGATGTAGGTTACAGTTTACATCAAGAACCCAGCAACCTTGCCCAGCAACTTGGTTCTTTTGAAGTTCTTCAATCTGGTCACAATCAGTTCCTTAGGCAGATGGCTTTGAGCACACCAATTACATGGTGCGGGGAAGATAAAATGGACAAAACTCTCAACATTATTGGTAACAGTACATGGTAAGTTAACACTTATTATCATGGCCATGTCACTTTACCCTGTATATTCTCAATATTGGTAACAGTAGTTAGTAAGTTAACACTAATTAGCATGACTATGTCAGTTCACATATGGCTGTGAATCCTGGACAATCGGTAGGCAGGCCAAACAATTTCTAGAGGCCTCAGAGATGTGGTTTTACAGAAGAATGCTTATAATACCTTGGACAGCCAAAAAGAGCAACCAAGAGGTTTTAAAAGAGGCGGGAGCCCGAAGACAACTTATCACAGACATCAGAAGGAGACAGTCATCATTTTTCGGCCATGTTAGGAGAAGAGGGAAAATAGAACATGTTGTGACCACTGGAAAGGAGGGATAGAAGAAGACAACGAGAGAAGATTCTTGACAGTCTTGTTGCATGGCATGGAGGTGTGTCGGCACACGAACTGATACATGCTGCAGGAGATCGCAGATTATGGAGAGGCATGATCGCCCACGCCAGTCGGCAGGGCACCTGATAATGATGTCAGTTCAACCTGTATGTTCTCAATTTTATTGGTAACAGTACATGGTAAGTTAACACTTATTAGCATGGCCATGTCACTTTACACTGTATATTCTCAATATTGGTAACAGTAGTTAGTTAGTTAACACTTATCAGCATGACTATGTCAGTTCACACTATATGTTCTCAATACTATTGGTAACAGTACATGGTAAGGTAACACTTAGCATGTCTGTCGGTCTACATGGCATGTTCTCAAAATTGTTAACAGTACATGGTAAGTTAACAATAGCATGACTGTGTCAGTTCATACTGTGTGTTCTCAATATTATTGGTTACAGTACATGGTAAGTTAACACTTAGCATGTCAGTTTACATTGCATGTTTTCAGTATTATTGGTAACAGTACATGGTAATGTAAGTTAACATTTATTAGCATGACTGTGTCAGTTCACACTGTATGTTCTGAATATTATTGGTAACAGCATATAGTAAGTTTGGGAGTTGGCATGGTGTTGCGGCTATATACTCACCTGTGGATCGGAAGGTCGTGAGTTCAGGTCCTGACGGAGCCGGACTTTTTTAAAAATTGACCTTGGCTCCCAGGTTGACCCAGCCTTGTGTGAGTACTAGGTGCATTCCTGGGAAGTAAAGGCAGCCGGCGTGATGCTGACCACATTACCCACCAAGTGCCGATTGATCTATAAAATATAGGTCTAGCCCTATATGCCTAATGGCGTGAAGAAAGGGTCCTTTTCTTTACATGGTAAGTTAACACTTGGCATGTCTGTCAGTCTACATGGCATGTTCTTAATATTATTGGTAACAGTATATGGGAAGTTAACACTTATTAGCATGGCTGTGTCAGTTTACACTGTACGTTCTCAATATTATTAGTAACTACATGGTAAGTTTACACTTAGCACATCTGTTAGTTTGCACTGTACTTTCTCAGTATTATTGGTAACAGTACATAATAAATTATCACTTATTAGCATGGCTTTGTCAGTTTACACTGTATGTTCTTCAATATTATTGGTAGCAGTACATGGTAAGTTAACACTTATCAGCAAAGCATGTCATTTGCCTATTATCTTTTCCAGTTACCTCAATGAAGTGTTGGGGGAATATGATAGAATAGATACCTTTTTTTTTTTAAAAACAGGATGCAGTTAAACACACAGGTAAGTTTTCTTTCCATTATAAGTGAGCATGAACCTTCATGACACTCTCACAGGAAAAACATTATTAAGTATATCACCATGTTTAGAGAGAACAGCATGGTAGGCATAGTTTTTACAAGAAAAATCAAGTCAGCCTGCATGGCAGTGGACACAGGATATCAAGGACACCCTGGCAAGCAAGTTTATGTGATGAGAAAGTTGGCAAGGGACAGAGTGGCTTTCTAGCTTGCTGTGATGAAAGTGATATTCTGCACAGACCTGCTACATAATAATAATGATGACACAAGCTGTACATTTGCTATGACTATAGACGGTTTGACAATGGAATTAGCAATAACAGTGGTACTAGTTTGACTGGGATAGTAAAATCTACACCTGCTCTTGCTTTCTAAATAATGTTTTGGGCATAATCAGAAAGTTAAGGCAGATTCCACACACATGATTTAGATAAAAACCCTGAAGAGGTCCGCAGTGAAGTTATCTATATGCCTGGGCATTCGGGTCCTGTTAGCAGTGAAGGAATAGATAGACAGGCTAGCACTGCGATTATATCAGTATAGGGAATTAAAAGTCAGAGGACAGGCTGACTTTTAATTAGGTATTAGCTGGTACCATCTCTTCATTGACTACTGAGGAAGGGGAAGCAATTCTTGATTAATTCTTTTCTTTCATTTATTTTCAGAATAGGGTGATCTTCTTCTTATTGTGTTCATAACGTTGACTAGAGTTTACAGCCAGTCACAAATTTTGACTGTTCATCCACTTCTAGACTTTAATCATGTTTTAGAACTTTACATGCATATATCGGCTTTACAGATCACGCTTATTTGTATTAGACTTTTGGTTCCTTGCCTCTCAGGCAGATGCACTGTAACCTTGAGGAACGTACCCATAATTATTGACTTTTATTACATATTTGTTGGGAGGAAAAGGGGAGGGGGGACAGTTGCTCTTACTTTTTTTTTTTTAACCCCTTCACACACAGTACATGAATAATAATCAAGCTGTTGTATTTCTGTATTTTAACATTTTATGAAAACCTTTATAGGCAGGATATACTTATCGAGGTAGACTTTGAGTTTCCCGTCGTGAATGCTACAACCGGTGTGTTTGTGGCAGCTCGTGTAAATCAAGCTCAGTGTAGTAAAGATGCAGCTTCTGGCATTTACCTCTTTGTAACTCCAGAATACAACTTCATCCTTGCTAGTAATATAGGTAAATATGTTCTTGTAATCATTGCATGGCTTGCTTTTTTTTTAAATTTTTACTGAATGAATTAACCCACATAAAAATAATTCCTTGGCAATATTGCATGAATTGTCAGGACTTTTGAATATTCTTTGCTATGATAAATGATGTGAGATGAGCATTTTTCTTCTCCACCACTGCCTGTTAGAAGCTCACTCAGAATTCTGAAAATTATCTGATATCTGTTTTATGAGGCTTGGCTCAATACCAAAGTCGTTATTGTCAGACTAAATAATTCTACCACTTTTTTTAAAAAAATCTTTTCCCCTTTCCTTCTATGAGAAACCTCATATCCGCCAACACAACCAGCTGGAAAGATTTCTCCCTGTTCGGGTTCCAGAGTCCCATTGAAGGGGAGGGGTTGGGGATAGACGCACTGCCCCTTAACAAGCATGTTGTAAAAGGGGACTAATTAAGGAGTGTTTCCTTTGAAGTCAGAGCACGTCTGCCTGGGAGATAAGAAACCAACAGTCTGCACACATTTAAACTCAGGTTCCAGAACCAAGGCCAAAGTCCAGAAGTACATGAATAACCATAACTTCTGGAGTTTCCTGTCAAGATTCCTGACAGTCTGCAGATGAAGCAAGTAGCAAATCAACTGATACTTTCTGTTGGAGGTAGTGAGGTGATGGAAGGTATCCTCCCTACAACCTGTGATCTCCATTAGTGTTCAGCATATCTTATCTGAAAATAGTCAATGATATTATACTATATGACTTGTTAATTTTTTTTGTTACAGCTAGGACTGCAGTAATAACTACAGGCACTTTGCCACATGGTGGAGGTTGGCACAGGTTATCTCTCTTTGTCCAGGTAATTAATCAATTAAATGTTATCACTTTCATCATCACCATAGAAGATGTCAGTAACCAACGGTAGAGGCATTCTCTATTGAAAAGAAGTAAAGCAACCTCTTTCCTCTGCTAGCTTATGAGACATCCTTGGGCAAGGTTGAGTGCTTGTTCTGTTTCCACTATAAGGGGAATGAGAAATCATGAATGCAGGTATGGATTGAGGTTGAGATTAGCTGGCATATAGTTGTTGATCATAGTCTCAGGCTGTCCAGCAGTGGGCAAAGGATCACACTCTGTAGTGAGATCAGCTGGCATATAGTTGATCATAGTCTCAGGCTGTCCAACAGTGGGCAGAGGATCACACTGTGTAGTGAGATCAGCTGGCATATAGTTGTTGATCATAGTCTCAGGCTGTCCAATAGTGGGCAAAGGATCACACTCTGTAATGAGATCAGCTGGCATATAGTTGTTGATCATAGTCTCAGGCTGTCCAGCAGTGGACAGAGGATCACACTCTATAATGAAAGCAGCTGGCATATAGTTGTTGATCAGGCTGTCTAACAGTGGGCAGAAGATCACACTTTGCAGTGACTAGCTGCCATAAACCAGCACAGTCACCACCAAGAAGTAAAGCAGTGACAGACTTATTTCTTTAAAGAAACTAAGAGAAGTCCATAAATCTGTATTTTGTATAGAAGGTAGCATCCAGAGGAAACAAAAACTTGCTTATTCTCTTCTCCAATTACCCCAATGATGTGTTGGGGAAATATGTAATTATCGTCTATGTGCTGTTTCTAATTTGTTGTAAACATGTGTCTTCATTTCTTTAAAGTTGTTCTTCTTTATGTGGTCTCCATATTTAGTGTTCATGATATTTCTACAGCAGAGCTCTCTGTGGCAGTTGGTACCAGGGCATTTTCTTCAGACAGCCAAACCATCTCATCTACGGCTCTTTAATTAACTTGAAGTCTGTGGAAACGTTTCTGAGATGATTATTGTGAAAACCTTGGGTAATTGATCTAATGATTAAAGAGAAAAAAGTTAATGGAAGAAGAAAATTTTTTGCAGGTATAAGAAACATCTTTCTGTGATAATGTGAAGAGAAGAGAGGCATTGAAGCGTGTGTGATGATATGAAAGATTAGCGAAAGAAGAGGCCAAGAATTTCTGAGAGAAGTTATGCTGGTTGGTCTAAGATGAAGGAATAGAGAAATGTCGTCAATACAACTGATCCAGGGCATCTAGGCCAACAGTTTATGAAAAGATATGAATACTTCCACCCCTAAAATATTCACCGAAATGGTACTGGACTGGACTAGAAACTGAACAACTGCACATCATATTGAACACTATCCTGTCTGAGATAGAATCATCTGTACTGCACTGTACATTTTCCATAAGGTTGCAGGAATCTCATAATTGCTCTTGTTCTTGAAGATAACTGACACTTTTACATGTTGTATCTTTCACGTTTCACCATATTTATGGGTTGTTAGTGCAGTTTTCCCATTCTGGGGATCTTTTCTTTCCCTTCCCCCCCCCTCCCCCCAAGCATGTCATAAAGGTCAACTAATTATGACTATTTCCTTAGAAGTCAGAGTGTATCATGATCAAAGTTTGTTTCCTTACAAATGGCTGCATACAAAGGCCTTGTCTCACAGACCTAACTTATTAATGTTTAGAGACAACAGTTTGTTTATTTTTTTAAACCTAATTTGTTCTGGTTACATTTTTACTTTCAGAACCAGACGGCATATCTGGCTTATGATGAACAGCCTCTTGTAATTGTTGCTGGCATTCCAAAAACTCCTTTGTCTGGATTTGTTGGAATAGGGACGGATAACTATGGCCTTGCAGATTTTGACAACCTGCATATTGCCGGTAATGAGGATGGAATCAAACAAATGAAAAAATACTTCAATCAGCCTTTACCACGGCCACTTTACTTTCGTCCAGAACATCAGTAATGGTGCATATTTAGACATCAATACCTTATTATGCCATGACCTGTAGGTAATTTAGATATTTAAATATCTGACCTGAACTAAATATTTATGCTCAGATTTCATGATTAAAACATTTTTTTTTTTATATATCTGTTATAATTTTTTTTAAAGGCATTATTCCAGTTTATCATAATATATATCAAGCTGTTATATAATACATACAAAATAATGAAGAGTGTAACCTTTGTTAGGAAAACAATGTTTCTAATTGTTATTCTGTGTTACTGATTTAAGACTTATTTTTTCTTTAAGTACTCAAGTTACTAGTCTATGTGCCATATGTTTTTCACTGACAAAATATATCCTTTTGCTTTCTGCCATATTTTTTTTAACAACTTAAATTGCCAGAATACTAATACTGAGAACCGGTAGCAATAAAATTCTAAGTTGGCAGGGAAGAAGAACACAGAAAGAGATGTTTTCTGGAAGATGAGGCCGTGTCTTATCAAAGCAGGGGTGCAGACAAAACATTAAAGACACCCAAAGCGTAAGAATGCTTGAGTAAGAGGAACTGGCAAAAGTGGGATTTTGATGAGAGGTGCATTCTACAGAGTAAATTAGCTTGACCATTAAAAAATAAAAATGTTTCATACAGTGAGTAAATCTGGTAGACTTTTCCGTTCTAATATTTTAAAAGTTTATTTTTCTTCTGCCTGCCTATAATTCTTTCAGTACCAAACAACGCACTGTGCGTTTTTTTGGTCACTGTTTTTTCTCTCAAAGCTTTATTAATGATTATGTTATATCGTTTAATTAATTCTACTCTGCTAAGTGCTCTAAACGTCCGGTGGTCCCTCTGTCAGCATAGTGCGGCATCTTTGACATGGAAAATTGCACTGAAGATTGCACAGGACAGGAAAGCATGGAAAGTCCTCTGAAGCCTCATGTGCCACTAGGCATAACGAGAACTGATAATGATGACTCTGCATAGGCAACACTTAGTGAATTTTTTAGTTTTATTTGTAATTATTAGCAGTAAATGTCATTTGTGATTGATAGTGATGTTATGTGAATTTCTTTTTTTTTTTTTTTTTTCTTTGTAATTTATATATATTATTTTAATTAAGTGGTTGTTTAGTTTAAAGCACGATTTTATTTTTAAAAATCCAGTAATTTTATACACATTTAAATTTGAAAGAATTATACACTTCCTGAAACAACCAGAATTTAAACTCCAAAAGAGAAAATTCTGTTATGGGATCCAGACTTACAAAAAAAAAAATAGATCCATTGTCCCTTAACAAGCGTGTTATAAATAATGCAACCAATTAAGGATTTGCTGAAACTGGATTTCTTAGGCCGAAAAGTGCAGATAACATAGCCTAACTGTAAACCACAATGCTCTTTCGGAGGGGGGGAGGGGGGGGGGACACAAAAGTAGGAGATGAACAGAAGATGAAAGCTAAATTTCAACGGTGTAAAATGTTATTCTTAGTCTCCAGAACTGTATAATAATAATCATCATCAGTCCCCTAGTTTCTAGAACTCAGTAATGTAGTACTGTTATCTGGCCTGTTTGACAAAGTATGCATTAAAAAGTTTTGCCGTTTGTAATCCAGTTCCTTCAGAACACTTTTTTAAAATTTACCATGTTAATGCACCATTGTTATCTTGATGGGCCATTTATGTTTTGATGCTACTGTACTCCAAAATCAGCTATTGCACAGTCAGGCATTCTTGCTTTTTCCTTCTATATGTATCATTTATTTGACGCTGTGCAGCCCCATCATAGATGGTGAACTTTAAAATTTCATTCGCTCACAATTTAGTGTTTAATTTTCTTTCCTTATAGGACTATGAGGTGGTAATTTTGTGTTCACTATATAAAGCACACAAAACCATTACAAATCTGGAATATTCACAAATCGAGCACTCCTCAGGTCCGGAGGTTGCCGGATTTTTTAATGTTTACCCTTAATATAATAAAACTATCCAGTCTGTGAAGCTTTGCAGCTTTCACATCATTAGAAGAAGGAGATAATTACTAAACATGTATTCAGTTTAGGTTTAGATGACGGATCAACATCATGGCACATGGGTAGAAACCCATAAGTTCTCCGTTCTTTTTCTGGCTCAAGCCTGAGTCCGAAGAATCACAGCGCTGTGCACGACCTTCATAGCACCGACGAGGATCCTGAAATACTTTGGGTAGATTTTTAGCTTCAAATTTTGCCCGGACAGCGCCACTAGGCTAATCTTTTAGATTTCCAACCGCCAAGGGATTTTTTTAATGTGCACAGCAAATCACATGGGCATCCGATCTTACTACCCAGAGACATGGGGGGAATTTACTAAAATCCACGTGAAAAAATGCCAGCCTTCACTGGGGCTTGAACCCATGACCTCCAGCACTGGAGGTGGACGCCATGCCTCAAGATCATGCAGCCCCCCACCCCCCCCCCCCCTCCCAAAAAAAAAAAAACATATATTGAAATAGGAAATAATTCACTGAGTATACGTAAGTGTCCGACAGAAAGGCTAAGATGAATCTTGTTGAGAAGCTGGGTGCTGAACTGGTTTCCATCTTTGATATTGAAAGAACTGCTCAGGATAGAACAGAATGAAGAACTAAACTGCCAGCTGTATGTTTCACGTAAGAGCACAACAAGATTATAATGATGATGACTAGCTATGTGAGACTAAACTGCCAGCTTTATGTGACATGTAAGAGCACAACAAGATTATAATGATGATGACTAGGTATGTGAGACTAAACTGCAAGCTTTATGTGACATGTAAGAGCACAACAAGATTATAATGATGATGACTAGGTATGTGAGACTAAACTGCCAGCTTTATGTGACATGTAAGAGCACAACAAGATTATAATGATGATGACTAGGTATGTGAGACTAAACTGTCAGCTTTATGTGACATGTAAGAGCACAACAAGATTATAATGATGATGACTAGGTATGTGAGACTAAACTGCAAGCTTTATGTGACATGTAAGAGCACAACAAGATTATAATGATGATGACTAGCTATGTGAGACTAAACTGCCAGCTTTATGTGACATGTAAGAGCACAACAAGATTATAATGATGATGACTAGGTATGTGAGACTAAACTATCAGCTTTATGTGACATGTAAGAGCACAACAAGATTATAATGATGATGACTAGCTATGTGGGACTAAACTGCAAGCTTTATGTGACATGTAAGAACACAACAAGATTATAATGATGATGACTAGCTATGTGAGACTAAACTGCCAGCTCTGTGTGACATGTAAGAGCACAACAAGATTATAATGATGATGACTAGGTATGTGAGACTAAACTGTCAGCTTTATGTGACATGTAAGAGCACAACAAGATTATAATGATGATGACTAGCTATGTGAGACTAAACTGCCAGCTCTGTGTGACATGTAAGAGCACAACAAGATTATAATGATGATGACTAGGTATGTGAGACTAAACTGCCAGCTTTATGTGACATGTAAGAGCACAACAAGATTATAATGATGATGACTAGGTATGTGAGACTAAACTGTCAGCTTTATGTGACATGTAAGAACACAACAAGATTATAATGATGATGACTAGGTATGTGAGACTAAACTGCCAGCTTTATGTGACATGTAAGAGCACAACAAGATTATAATGATGATGACTAGGTATGTGAGACTAAACTGCAAGCTTTATGTGACATGTAAGAGCACAACAAGATTATAATGATGATGACTAGCTATGTGAGACTAAACTGCACGCTTTATGTGACATGTAAGAGCACAACAAGATTATAATGATGATGACTAGGTATGTGAGACTAAACTGTCAGCTTTATGTGACATGTAAGAGCACAACAAGATTATAATGATGATGACTAGCTATGTGGGACTAAACTGCAAGCTTTATGTGACATGTATGAGCACAACAAGATTATAATGATGATGACTAGGTATGTGAGACTAAACTGCAAGCTTTATGTGACATGTAAGAGCACAACAAGTTTATATTGATGATGACTAGGTATTTGAGGCTAAACTGCCAGCTCTGTGTGACATGTAAGAGCACAACAAGATTATAATGATGATGACTAGGTATGTGAGACTAAACTGCCAGCTTTATGTGACATGTAAGAGCACAACAAGATTATAATGATGATGACTAGGTATGTGAGACTAAACTGCAAGCTTGATGTGATATGTAAGAACACAACAAGATTATAATGATGATGACTAGGTATGTGGGACTAAACTGCAAGCTTTATGTGACATGTAAGAGCACAACAAGATTATAATGATGACTAGGTATGTGAGACTAAACTGCAAGCTTTATGTGACATGTAAGAGCACAACAAGATTATAATGATGATGACTAGGTATGTGAGACTAAACTGCAAGCTTTATGTGACATGTATGAGCACAACAAGATTATAATGATGATGACTAGGTATGTGAGACTAAACTGCAAGCTTTATGTGACATGTAAGAGCACAACAAGATTATAATGATGATGACTAGGTATGTGAGACTAAACTGCAAGCTTGATGTGATATGTAAGAACACAACAAGATTATAATGATGATGACTAGGTATGTGAGACTAAACTGCAAGCTTTATGTGACATGTAAGAGCACAACAAGATTATAATGATGACTAGGTATGTGAGACTAAACTGCAAGCTTTATGTGACATGTAAGAGCACAACAAGATTATAATGATGATGACTAGGTATGTAAGACTAAACTGCAAGCTTTATGTGACATGTATGAGCACAACAAGATTATAATGATGATGACTAGGTATGTGAGACTAAACTGCAAGCTTTATGTGACATGTAAGAACACAACAAGATTATAATGATGATGACTAGGTATGTGGGACTAAACTGCAAGCTTTATGTGACATGTAAGAGCACAACAAGATTATAATGATGATGTCTAGGTATGTGGGACTAAACTGCAAGCTTTATGTGACATGTATGAGCACAACAAGATTATTGTTAAATAA